CCCTAGTAGTAATGCCGAAGTGAATAACAATAAAATATAAATAAAAATAATCTAATACAAAAACATTTTAAAATTAATTTTTTACCCATTTTCGTGACTTAAGACTCAAATTTGTGTCTTGTGTCAGTTATAATATTGAGTTAGTGTCAGTTATAATATTGTAAGAATAGGATGTCATTTTTTCAAGTTTTTATCAGTAAATTTAATTTTAAAAATTTGAAACTTATACAAATCACCTTTTTTATTAAAACAAAATAGCGAAACATTTGAGATTAATTACATTATATAACTATGTATTGTATAAGAAAGCAAACTGTTATCTTTACTCTAATAATAATTATATATGTTATAGATATATCTATAATTGTTATCTATTATATATATATATATATATATATATATATATATATATATATATATATATATATATATATATATATATATATATATATATATATATATATATATATATATATATATATATATATATATATATATAATACAAAAGAAATAACAAATTCAATAATTCTAAATAATAATCCTTATTGCCCAATAAGTTACAAAAAAATAAATTACTAACCTTTGAGTAAAAAAGTTCTATTTTACAAATTCATAAAAGAAACACAATACACAAGTTATAAAAAAGCTTATTAGGTAATTTTGTTGTCTAGAACAAGTTCCACAAGAAACTACAAATATCACAAATTTTCCATTCAAATAAATAAAATGATATTATCTATTAAAACAGCTGAAACAAATGTCTTAAAAAATAAACTCTGTATTTTTATTGACATTTAATTAAACTATTAAATAGTTTAATAATGGGTATTCAAAAAACCCTATTATTGCATTATTTATTTGTAAATAAATTATTATGTGAAATATTATACATGTTAAAATTTTTTACTATATAAGTAAAAATGCAAAATGTTAAATATGCAAAGTATACAAAAAATAAAAAAAATTTCAACAACTTGTTTGTTGAAAATTTTGTTGTTTTGTAAAGTCTAGTTGTATTTACGTTGGAATAAATTTGTATTACGTTGAAAATCATAATTAGACATCCTTTTTATTAAACTACATCAAAAACTTTATTAAACTTTATTAAACTACATCAAAAAAATTATACATGAGTTTTTCAAGATGTCTTAGGAGAACTAGTTTAAGTTGTATTCTATATACCCACATTACCCAGTTTAATCATTTTTATCTTTTTTTCAATAAAATATACTTATATTAAAATATGACTGAAGTCATTGAGCATGTATTGTATTTAATTTATTTGATAAAAAGTTTAAACGTACTTTACGTTTAAAAAAAAAAGAGTCAGGGTTAGGCTTAAACGTACTTTAATAGATGTTTTATATTTAGAATAAATCATATAGAATTTATGATATTCAAATTTAAATGTCGAAGTACTTATTAAAGTCAAAGCATTATCAAATTATATTTAAGGAAGAATTTAAAGCAAAAAGCTTAATTGACAAATATTCAAAATTTTTTAAATATATTAGAGATTCATTATCCTACAAAACGTGTTTTATATAACAAAAATTCAATGAGCAATACTTCAAAACTGTTATGCGGCGTTCAGGGGCGCACAGAGACTTTATGGTGCCCGGGGTATATTATAAAAAAAATTTACTGGATGCCCCTCTAACCACCACCAAAATAAAAATAATAAGAAAAATAAAGCTATTATTTTTAGTATTCACAAAATATTTTTAAAATTTTGTATTCAAGACAGTTCACGGATGAAACAATTAAATACAAAAAAGAAAAAAAAACATTTCTGGATTTGGTATCAAGTTTTTCAGATCATATGTAGCAAAGAACAAATATTTGATATACTGATTTTAGAGACTGTTGATGTCTACAGGTGTTATGGTGTAGTACTTTATTACGTACCGTTTGGTCGTCTAGTATGGTCTCGTTTTGTTTTCGTTCACTTTCAAATCGGGTGAATAGAAAGTGAATGAAAAGCGCAAGAAGTATATTCGGGTGAATAGAAAGTGAACATAAGCGCAAGAAGTGAGTGTTTTTTTAAAAAAAACACTCACTTCTTGCGCTTATGGGCAAAATATTTTTACTATTCTTTTTCCTATTGTTCACGATATCGTTACATGTAGTTTGTAGTTTTCTCGCATGGTTTGAAGAGTTATTCAGAAGGCACATCATAGAACGTAAATACTGATTTCTGAAGGAAAGAAAAAATACGTGGTCCATAAATAGAGAGTCATCTAACGTAAAAATGAGCTTAGGAATCAGTAATCGGTTTAATCAGACCGAATCGAAACAAAATCAAAAATCGAAATATAATAAAAAATTAAACATTTTTCATTTCTTTATTGGATGTTTTCAATTTTTTATTTAGCATACTGATAATTTTTTTTTGACATCTGATGATGCCCCCATAAACATGATGCCCGGGGGTAACCGGATCTCCCACCATCTGTGCGCCCTTGGCGGCGTTATCTAATAGTTTTAATTGAAAACATGA